CCACTGCAGCCTCGACCTGCTGGGATTTTTTTGATTTATTGTAGAAACAAGGTCTTGCCAAGTTGTCCAGGCTGGTCTTGAACCCCTGGACTCAGGCAATCCTCTTGCCTCTGCCTCCCAAAGTAGTAGGATTACAGGCGTGAGCCACCACACCTGGTGGATTTTGCAATTTTAAAAGACCAAAGAAACAAATCCAAAGTGACACATGAAAAATTATGTGAAATTCAAATCTCAGTGAAATTCAAATAAAATTGTATTGGAACACAACCATGCTTATTTGCTTATGTATGATCTATGATTGCTTTTGACTGCACTGGCAGAGTTGAATAGTTAGGACAGAAGACTGTAGTATATGAGTATCTATATAGTATCCTTGATTTTGTCTCTTGGCCCACAGAGTATAAAATATTTGCTATCTGGCTCTTTACATATAAAGTTTGCTAATCCCTGAATTAAGGGATTGTTTCAGTTTTTCAGGCAAGAAACCTGCACTAGGATAGCGGCAGTGAGGATGCAGAAAACTGGACGAATTTGGGAACTATTCAGTGGATAGACTGGGTACAGGGAGTAAAAAGGAGTCTAGGACACGTCCCAGCTTGAGCAACTGTGTGAATGTTGATGCTAGCCAAGTCAGGAATACTAAGAGGGAGAGTGAAACTCAGGGGCAGGGGAAAAACAGGGGCTGGAAGGGAGAGTGAGAACTGTTTTCAGGCCTGTTTTGTGTAATCCTCTGATTCCTGGAGTTATGCAATTTGTGTGTCAGAAGCAATAACCTTAAGCTCTTTAGAGCCTGAGGCTGGTGGGGCCACCTTCAAAAGGCTTTTGTGTACTAAAGGTAAGCAAGTACCTGTCTGAATTACCTGTTGGGTCAGCATGGATTCTGTAAAATCTGAGCCAGTCTCCTCAAAATGAAACCAAAGATTCTGGCCGGGTGCTGTGTTTCACACCTTAATCCCAGCATTTTGGGAGGCCGAGGTGGAAGGATTGCTTGAGCCCAGAAGTTCAAGGCCAGCTTGGGCAACATAATGAGACTTCATCTCTATAAAAAAATTTAAAATTTAGCCGGATGTGGTGGCACACACCTGTAATTTCAGTTACTCAAAGTGACTGAAGTGGGAGGATTGCTTGAGCCCAGAAGTTTGAGGCTGAAATAAGCCTTGATTGTGCCACTACATTCCAGCCTGGGTAACCGAACGAGACTCTAACTCACCAAAAAAAAAAAAAAAAAAAAAAAGGAAAAAAAGAAACCAAAGATTCCAAAGGCCTGGGTACGCAATGGGAGAGGGTGGCACTATCCCTAGATGCCAAGTCTCCCTTTTATCTTCTAATTGGTGAGGTTGGTATATACTGGCCAGAGAGGTAGGGCTTGTGTCTGCACGTTTATAGTAGTAGCCAAGTGAGCTGATGCTTCCGAGGCCTTATGTTCTTGCTGAGATTTGAGGGCAGGAACTGGGGTGGCCCAAACCACCTACTCCATCATTTGTCCTTTGGTCCTGCCGTCTGGGGAAGCAGACCCAGGCAGGTTCCGACAGCCGTTTCTCGGCAGAACTATTGCCGTGATAGCCAGCAGATGGCGCTAGAGTTATATGGTGGGAATGGAGGTGGCGGGCGTTGTGGGAGGAGAGAGGATCCTAACATGTTCCCCCTTCTCCAGGGCTGGGTGGTGACAGCAGGGGCGGAGGTGGTATTCAAAAAGCCACCTCATTCTTTCTTTACTTCCTGCTTAGGCACGACACGGCCCTTGTTTCTGGGGCCAAGGACACTCTCAGGGCGGGAGGGGGTGCAGTGTTTGGGGTGGACAGGTGCCATGTCTTGCCACCCTCTCCCTTCGGGCTTATGTCATTTCCTCCGCTCTCTGGCAGCTGGATCTGCAAGAGGCTTGCTTCAGAAGCCTGCAGGGCACCGGCTCCACCTCTGGTAAGCCTTCCTGGACTGCACAGCCGTCTCCTGCCCAAGTTGGCTCCCCTATATTCCATTAACCAAGCCATGTCGGGTGCGAGTTTCTTCCCTCTGGGCTGAAAGGGCACTGGACTCGGGGCTCTTCAAAGCTCAAGCTGGAGGTTTAGGGAAGGAACTGGGTCTGAAATTATACCTGGTTTCTGGTGTTTACCCATGAGCAGCCTTGTCTTGTGGTAACACTGATCATAGAGACATTGTAGTGTCTCTCAATTTTTTTTTTTTTTGAGTTGGAGTCTCACTCTGTTGCCCAGACTGGAGTGCAGTTGCTGCTCCCGGCCACTGCAGCCTTGACCTGCTGGGCTCCGGCGATCCTTCCGCCTCAGCCTTCTGAGTAGCCGGAATTACAGGCGCGTGCTACCACGCCCGGCTGATTTTTTGATTTATTGTAGAGATGAGGTCTTGCTACCCAGGCGGGTCTTGAACCTGTGGGCTCAGGCAATCCACTCACCTCAGCCTCCCAAAGGCGCGGGATTACAGGCTGAGCCACCGAGCCTGGCTCTATCTCAATTTTTTAACTCTTCTGCGAGGGGTTTCTTTGCAGAAGACACTGAGGATAAGAGACATGGCTAAAGCTGTCTGGTGAGGGACATGGCAGTAGGACCTGCAGTTTGGAATGAGGGAAAGTGTGAGCTGCTAGTCCCACTCCTGGCCTGAATACCACCTTTGACTCCCTACTTCTTTTTTCTTTTTTTTGTGTTGGAGTCTCACTCTATTGCCCAGACTGGAGTGCAGTGACTGCTCCCGGCCACCGCAGCCTCGACCTGCTGGGCTCCGGCGATCCTTCCACCTCAGCCTTCCAAGTAGTTGGAACTACAGGCGTGCGCTACCACACCCGGCTAATTTTTTGATTTATTGTAGAGATGAGGTCTCACTAACTTGCCCAAGCGGGTCTCGAACCCGCGGGCTCAGGCAATCCACTCACCTCAGCCTCCCAAGGCGCGGGATTACAGGTTGAGCCAACGAGCCCGGCTTCTTTTTCTTTTTTTTTGAGTTGGAGTCTCTGTTGCCCAGGCTGGAGTGCAGTGGCAGGATCAATGCTTACTGCAGCCTCAACCTGCTGGGCTCAGGTGATCCTTCTGCCTCAGCCTTCCGAGTAGCTGGAACTATAGGCACGCGCCACCACACCCGGCTAAATTTTTGATTTATTGTAGAGATGAGGTCTCACCAAATTGCCCAGGCTGGTCTCGAACCTGTGGGCTCAGGCAATCCTCTCTCCTCAGCCTCCCAAAGTGCTGGGATTATAGGCATGAGCCACCGGTCTGGCCTGACTCCCTGCTTCTGACTTTCAGTAGAGGCCAGGTTAATCTGCCTCTAAAACTCTTGTTGTCCCAAGACTGCTGGGCTTCCTCTGCCTCCTAGTCTCCTGGTCTCTTTGCCTCCCAGGACCTCAATTCTGATGCCTTCAACACAGGGCAGGGCATTTAGCTCTAAAGAGGCCTCAGGAAATTATGAGGCCCCAGTGGCCTCAGTGGCAAGGGAGGAGCCCACTCAGGGTCTGAGCTGACAACATAGGAAGTTGGGCTGGTGGGAGAAGGTCCTAGGGTCATTCCCACAGAGCTGTTTTGTCCTGTCTTCAGTGGGCACCCTTGCCTATAGCATTAGAAGCTTTCTTTCCAACAGTTTCTGGGAGTCCCAATAACATATGCAGGGCGAATTCCCACTCCTCTTTCTGCAAAGGCTTAGCTCCACCCAGGACCTCATCCCTCGAGGTCAGCAATTTTCAAACTTTAATCTGCATCAGAACACCTGGAGGCCTTTATAAATGATGCCTGGGTTTCAACCCTGGAGTTTCTGATTTAGCAAATCTAGGGTAACTCCAATAATTTCCATCTCTAGCAAGTTCCCAGGTGATACCTAATGCTACTGGTCAGGACCAATATGAATGAAAAGACTCACTCAGCAGGACTGGGTTGTCCAAACCCTGCACATTTCAAAGAAAGATTTGACCTTGCCTGGCTCCTAGGAGATAACACAAAGCCCTTGGAATATTCTGCCTGGTAAAAGTGATTTTGCTTACCTGTGGGCCTTGCATAGACATCAGATAGTCTATGCTAACAACGGGATTTATACTGGAGGCTTTGGGCTGCATGGTATCAGGTTAACCTCTTGGAGGGCCAGAAACGAAGTAACTAAGGTCAGCCATGTGGGTGGTCAGCCGTGCCCATGTGATCAACCTCCAGGAAGAACAATGGACACCAAGGCTCTGATGAACTTTTTTGGTTGGCAACATTTCATGTATGTTGTCACACATCACGGCTTGGAGAATTAAGCACTATCTGCATGACTCCACTGGGAGAGGACAACAGGAATCTTGCACCTGGCCTCTCCTGGACTCTACCCTTTGCACTGCTTTCTGTTGCTGTTTTCCTCTGTATTCTTCCACTGTAATAAACTGCAACTGTGAGTATGATGGCTTTGCTGAGTTCTGTGCATCCTAATGGTGGTCTTGGGGAATGCCAATAACCACCACACCTTGAGAACCAGTGCTTTAGGTTGTGGAATTAAGCTCTTAGGTCTCCTTTGCTTTAGGCTTTGGGATCTCTTCACCAAAAAAGCGCCTTACTGGACCACCCGGAAAGAGCACTTTGGCCTAAATACCCCAGGCCTCTCATTTCCTCAGTCCAGGGGTGAGGAGTCTATGAATTGCCTGGAAGTCTGGGTGTTGCTTTGTGGAGTAACTCTGAAAATCCTCCTGGGTCTCTGGGCGTTAGTCTCCCCATCTGTCAACAGGGGTTTGGAGAAGTTCTATACTTCCTGGGTGTGACAGGATGATAGAGAAGATGCAGGTATGTGGGCATGGGCAGTTTATTTTGCCTAGTGGCCCCACTTCCAGAGGCCACGTCTGCCTGTTATAGCCCCACTCACCTGAGCCAGGGACTCCATGATGCTGAGATCCACAAGCTTTGGTAGATCCACCACCCAGTACTGTTCTTCCCACCCTCAGGGCTGCAGCCCACTTTCCACATTACTTGGGCCCTCCCTGCCCCATCCTGCCCGGGCCTGAGATCAGGGCTTTAAGCTGACACAGGGAGGAAGGCTCCTTAGTGCCCGCTGGTTATGTGGCTTTATTCACAGACTCAGCACTTGCTGAGGATGGAAGGAGAGAACACTTGGGGCCAGGCTGGGCCTGGAGATCAGGGTGGCTGGGAGGCCATGCATGGGTCATATTGGGGAGCTCACAGGACAGAACCTGCTGGCTGGGCCAGGCCTGTGTGGGGCAGGGCTGGAGGCAGGCAGCATGCGGGAGGCCTGGCTAGATCTGCACAGAGCAGATCCATCCAGGTGGTGGCTGTGAGCCAGGAGGTTAGGGACTGAGGTTTCTCCGGGGCAGGGGTGTGGGTGTGGGACTGGATAGCAGGCACCCCTGCCCCCCCACTCCCCGGGAAATGACATTGGCACCTGGTCCTGCTGCTGCTTTGGGACTTGACGTGTGACTAGCCAGACTGGACCCCTCTGGTGTCATCATCCTGCTGATGCTTGGAGAAGTGCCTTGGAGGCGACCCACATAGGGATGCTCTGGGGACATTTGCAAGGAGGCTAGGAGATCCTGCAGAGTGAGACTAGGGCCCAGCTGGGCGGGCTCTGCCTATGGTGGGAGGAGATCCCCAACTAGGGATCCCCGGCTCCCTATAGCCAAGTTTTCCTCTCAGGGGTCGGTGTCAGTTCCAGGCTGCAGCCTGCAGGGGGCGCCACCTCACACGACAATCGGGGAGCCCCGGGGCCTGGGAAGACTGTCAGGTTAAGCCTTCTTTCTCCTGGCCGGCCTTGCTGGCTCCTGACTTCCTGCCTAAAGGCAAACAAGGAGTCCAAAGCCCGGATCCGCCTCTCGGGACTTCTTTCTGGTGAAGAGCCCATTCCCACCCAGCGGGGTTCAGAAAAACCAGTTCCCCGGGTTTCGCTTCCTGCCTGGGAATGGCAAGGTTTGGAAAGTTGGCAGGGTCTCTCTGGGCTGCCCAGGAAGGTGACCCTGGGGCCTGGGAAGCCGGTGAGGCCTGAGCAGGGCCCTGGGGCTGAGGATGCAGCCCCTGCCCGCTTCCCACCTGCCTCTCCCGGCGACTGGGGTGGAGGGATGCAGGGCAGGGGGCCATCAGCACTGGCGGGAGGGGGTGCGGTGCACGGAGCCAGGGCGCTTGGGGATCTTGCGCCAGCGTCTCTTGTCCCAGCGGCAGAGCAGCAGCAGGCGGAAGGTGTCCCGGAAGGCTTTGTTGCAGAGTGCGTAGCACATGGGGTTGATGGTGCTGTTGACGTAGCACAGCCAGTAGCCCAGTTCCCACAGGGTCTCGGGAACACAGTCCTTGCAGAAGGTGGACACCAGCACCATGATGTTGTACGGCGTCCAGGTGAGGATGAAGGCCAGCAGGATGGCACTCAGGGTCCGAGCCGCCTTCTTCTCCTTGACCAGCGAGAAGGTCTTCCGCTTGGCCAGCTGCTCCTTCCCGCGGGGCTTCTGGCTCTTGCCAGCTCCATCACGCCCCTTCCTGGTCGGCCTCTTGACTGTATTTGGGGAGCTCCTGGGGGGCTGCTTGGCAGGAGCCTGCACCTCGGGGTCCACCATGGGCATCTTGATCACCACTTCGGAGCCGGGCTCCTCACCCTCCGAGGACGTGAGGGACTCCATGGAACCTTCATCCTCTTCTTCCTCTTCCTTCCAGCTGTAGGCCTGCAGCAGCCTGGGGGCTCGGCAGCAGTGGCAGCAGCGGCCTGGAGGAGTCTCTTGTGAGCCCTCAGCCCCTGGCTGGGACCTCTCCGAGCTGCTGCTGCTGCCACCCCCTTTGCCAGGTGTCTCGGAGCCCTGAAGGGCCGCTAGCTCCCGTGCCCGGTTCTCCGTCTCCCGGTAGATGCGCCAGTAGAGTGTGCACATGACCGTGACAGGGAGGTAGAAGGCGGCCATGGCCGTGCCAAAGGTGATGATGGGCTGGGAGAGGAACTGGATGTAGCACTCCCCGGCCAGCACTGTCCGCTCCCCTACCAGGTACTGCCAGAAGAGGATGGCTGGGGCCCAGAGGACAAAGGAAACCAGCCAGGCCAGGCCGATCATCAGAGCTGCCCTGCGGGGTGTGCGCTTGGCGCGGTAGCTCAGGGGTCGGGTCACAGAGAAGTATCGGTCAAAGCTGATGAGCAGCAGATTCATGACAGAGGCGTTGCTGGCCACATAGTCCAGGGCCAGCCAGAGGTCACAAGCCAGCGTGCCCAGAGCCCAGTGGCCCATGAGCAGGTACGTGGTGTAGAGGTTCATGGAAAAGGTGCCAATGATGAGGTCTGCGCAGGCCAAGCTCAGCAGGAAGTAGTTATTGACTGTCTTGAGCTCCGTGTTGACCTTGAAGGAGATGAGTACCAACAGATTGCCTGTCACTGTGGCCAGTGACAGGAGGCCTGTGGTGATCCCAATGAAGGCCACTTGCCAGGGACCCTTTCCCGGTGCCAGGACGGTGATGTTGGGGCTGACGGCGGGTGGGGCTGAGGTGTTCATGGTGGCAGGTGGAGCTGGGGCAGGGGAGCCCTTTCCTCCAGTCAGGCTACAGGGTTTCCTCAGAGGAAGGTCATCACCTGAAAAGAGAGGGCATAGGCTTTGGTTGGGCCCCCAGACATCTTTGACAGCCCTGCGTGGAAGGACACAGCCCCTGCCCTCCAGAGCTTTGAGCCACACAGCATCATCCTCCCTTACCGGTGCTCACCCACAGCCATTTATAATGCAGTTTCCCAGGCACAAGTGGGTCTGCCAGCAGCATGGGGTGGGGTGGCTTTGGAATCCAGGGATCTGAGTCGTCATTCCAGCTTCACCATTCAGACTCTGGGCCTCGGTTTTCTCATTGGGAAATTACTACTAACTCCTGTCTTGCTTATCTCACATGGTAGGAGTTGGGAGACTCACTTTGTATATAGTCCTGCCAGTTTTTCAAAGCATTTCACTCAACTTTATTAAAGTCCTCAATTACTGAGTTTACTACACGCCAGACACAGAGCTAAGCACTTAATTGAATTATCTAATTTAACCGTCGTACATCTCTAGGAGGAAGGTCTCATTGTTCCCATCTCATTGTGAGGCGACTGTGGCTCTGAGCAGCTGCAAGGCTTGGCCATGGTGACACAGGTGGTGAGTGTGATGAGAACCCAGTTCTCGCTCTCACTGGGTTTGTGGTGCTCCAGTGGGATTCTTCCATCTAATAAGGAGAGATGGGAAGAAAGGAGAGGGCTCCTGAGAAGATAAGGGGAAAGAGATGGGAGCAGAGGGGTGGTGTGTGTGTGTGTGTGTGTGTGTGTGTGTGCGCGCGTGTATGTGTGTGCACATGTGCATTTGTGTCAGCACGTTGTTCTGTGCGTGTGGGTTTACATATACATGTGATGGGGGTGGGGTTGGGGCTGAATTGGATCCCCTGTGAGGGCAGCATGGAAAGTTGTGCTGGGCCCAGACAATTGCTTGATGGTGAGAAGGCCTGTAGTAAAATCAGGCAGCAGGGCCTTAGCTCCCAGCTAAGTGGGGGTCTAGCCCCAGATGGGGCGTGGGAGGCCATCCTCCCTTTCCCGCTCTGTTCCTGGGCCCCAGCTGAGTGGGGGGAAGCAGAGAGAACAGGAAGATCCCCCAGACTTTTCTTGGATCTAGAGTCTGGCTTAGGCACTAAGGCTGGGTAGAGAGAAAAGCCAGGACCCTTGGCAACTTCCTGACTGGGCAGGAGGTCCTCACAACTAAGGTGAAGCAAGATTGAAGGGTGAGTGTCCAGGCCAGCTCAGCCGTGGCCTTCCTGCTGCATAATTTGGTGAGTCCCTTTCTGTTCTGGGCCTCAGGTATTCATCCGTCCATTGAAGAGACTGTACTCAACCCACAGTGGCCTTTGGAGACTGTACTATTGGAAACATTCCAAGGGAGAGATGTTGGACAAGGGCCCCCCAAGGTGCCCAGGTTCCTTGGGCACCTGGCCTGTAACAGATGGCAGTGCTGTCCCTGTGATGGGTGGCCTGGGTGGTGTGTGGCTGGGGGCCTCTTCACGGCTCATGGTGAACCGTCCATGTCTCAGAGCAGCTCTCCACATGGTGAGTTCAGTGTGGAATGGAATGAGGAGGAACGGTGGCTGGTAGGGTGTGCTTGTGTGTCAGTACAGTGTACACAGTTAACTGTGTAACATCACAGTTAAAGAACCTGGACTCTGGAGCCAGACTGTCTGGATTTGAGTCCAGGCTACACTGTTTACTGCATGTGTGGTGATTGCTAATGATGTAACTTCTATATGCCTTGGTTTCCTCAACTGAAAAATGAGGATAATACCCATTAGCTAATACCATTAGCTAATACCTCAAAGAACTGTTGTGAGGATTAAGTGAGCCAATGCTTGTTAAGTGCTTAGAATGGCCCCTGGCACACGGTAAGCACTGGAGCCCATGAACTCCCAATATGTATAGCAATGAGGGCTCTAGGCTGCTTAGGAATGTCCATTTCTACTTTTCTTTTCTTTTTTCTGAGTCAGGTTCTCACTGTCACCAAGGCTGGAGTGCAGGGGCACAATCACAGCTCACTGCAGCCTCAAACTCCTGGGCTCAGGCGATCCTCCTGCCTCAGCCTCCCAAGTAGCTGCGGCTATAGGTGCACATCACCGTGCCTGGCTAATGTTTTGATTTTTTTGTAGAAACAAGGTCTCCTATGTTGCTCAGGCTGGTCTCAAATTCCTGCGCTCAAGCAGTCCTCCTGCCTTGGCCTCTCAAAGTGCTGCATTTATAGGTGTGTCACCGCATATGGCCAGGATGTCTATTATTTGATTAAACAATCTGATAACACAGGGGGAGGGGGGCACACCTCATCCATAAGGGTACCTGCATGGTTAATTATTTGTATCCCTAGCCCTGAATTGTACCCCACAACTTTAAATAAAAATTAAAAGAGGGAAAAAAATCTGATATGCAAAGGGTTCCTGGTCCTAAACCAGAAGAAGTGAAGATCAGTTGGAAGCCCAAACTTCACCTGCATGTAGCCTTATGTACCTAATCCTGATGTGTACCCCACATCTCTATAATATAATAAACTGGGGAGAAAAAGCATTATAATCATGAGTGCAAAAAATATTGCCTAGCTTCTACTATGTCAATTCCTTTCTATTTTTAAATGATTTAAGTAAATACAAATATTTACATTTTTGCACAAAAAATCTGATACTATGATAATAACAAGTAATAATAATGCTCATTGCTGTTATTCAATGCCCCCTAAGTGCCAGTCTCTGCTAAATAATTTTTTTTTGAGTTGGACTCTCACTCTGTCGCACAGGCTAGAGTGCAGTGGTACACTCACAGACACTGCAGCCTTGGTCTGCTGGGCTTAGGTGATCAGCCTGGGCAACTTGGTGAGACCTTGTCTCTACAATAAATCAAAAAATTAGCAGGGCCTGGTGGGACTGCCTGTGGTTTCAGCTACTTGAAAGGCTGAGGCTGGAAGGATTGCCTGAGCCCAGCAGGTCGAGGCTGTGAGCATGCCACTGTACTCCAGCCTGGGCAACAGTGAGACTCTGACTCAAAAAAAGAAAAAAAAGTATATATATGATTTGTAGGCCGGGCAAAGTGGCTTACACCTGTAATCCCAATACTTTGGGAGGCCGAGGCAAGAGGATTACCTGGGCCCAGGAGTTCAAGACTAGCCTGGGAAATATGGTGAGACCTTGTCTCAACAATAAATAAAAAGGTTAGCTGAGTGTGGTGGTACGCACCTATGATTCTGTTTACTCATAAGGCTGAGGTAGAAGCATCATCTGAGCCCAGCAGGTTGAGGCTGCAGTGGTCATAAGCATGCCACTGCCCTCTAGCCTGGGTGACAGAGTGAGACTCTTACTCAAAATATATATGAATTGTCTTGATTCCTGAGTTTTGTTGCACCGCCTCCTTTGACCAAAGTCAGACAATGGGCTGGAGGCTGGACTCAGGCTGGGGCTTTCACCAGTGAGTCTGCTGGTGGACACGACTCTTGGGAGTTTGCCCTGCATAATTCTCATCACTTTGATCTTCTGAACTCAGTGTAGTTTTATGCCCATGGTACAAAGGGAGCAACTGAGGTCCAGAGAAAAGGGGATAGAAGGTATGGTCTAGTCTAAGGTCTCCTGAATGCTAGATTGGGTGCTTCTTCCCACTTTGCAGCCTTCAGTTAACTTGGATCAGCTCTGTATCCCTGGGCAAAGGCTCGATGGCCTGAGAGGCTGCACTCTGCCTGGCTGCAGGGGCCTCCTAACTGACTGGGCATGATGCAGCCTTCAGAGCTTGGCTCCCCATATCCCAGCAGGCTAGCAACAGGGTGAGGCAAGTCAGGTACTTGTCTTGGGTGCACAATAGAAGGGGTAGCCCAAAACTTAGTAATTAAGAAAAAAATATATGTATATTTTGAGTTGGAGTCTCACTCTGTCACCCAGACTGGAGTGCAGTGGCCGTTCCCGGCCACTGCAGCCTTGACCTGCTGGGCTCTGGCGATCCTTCTGCCTCAGCCTTCCAAGTAGCTGGAACTACAGGTGTGCGCTACCACGCCTGGCTAAGTTTTGATTTATTGTAGAGATGAGGTCTTGCCAAGTTGCCCAGGTGGGTCTCGAACTCACGGGCTCAGGCAATCCACTCACCTTGGCCTCCCAAAGTGCTGGGATTACAGGCTAAGCCACTGAGCCCGGCCAAGAACATATTTTAATTTCACATAGTACAGTGGCACGATCACAGCTCACTACAACCTTGAAGTCCTGGGCCCAGGTAATCCTTCTGTCTCAGCCTCTTGAGTAGCTGGGACTACAGGCAAACACCACTGCGTCTGGTTAATTTTTTTGAAATTTTTTAGAGGTGAGGTCTCACTATGTTGCCTAGGCTGGTTTCAAACTCCTAGGCTCAAACAATCCTCTACTTTGGCCTTCCAAAGTGCTAGTGTGAGCCACTGCACCCAGTCCAAAAATATAAATTAATGCACAAAATCCATGATAAATAATATGTTAAACAAAGACAAAGTCCATTTCTGCACTTGGCCAGTTCTTTCTTATTTGCCTCATACTAATCCTGGCACTGATTCTAATAAGACTTTTATTTTATTTTATTTGAGTTGGGGGTCTCACTCTGTCACCCAGGCTGGAGTGCAGTGACACAGCCACAGCTCCCCGCAGCCTTGACCTCCTAGGCTCAGGCAATCCTTCTGCCTCAGCCTCCCAACTAGCTGAGACTACAGACATGCGCCACCACGTTTGGCTAATTTTTGTAATTTTTTGTAGAGACAAGGTCTCACTATGTTGCCCAGGCTAGTCTCAAACTCTTAGCCTCCTGCCTTGGCCTCCCAAAGTGCTGGAGATATACAGGTGTGAACCACTGCACCTGGCCTATTTAAAAAAAAATTTATATTACAATATTATTTCTCTTGATCAGTGAGTTTTTTTTGTGCCCTCTCTTAAATTTTGCTCTGGGCTGAGTGCCTCATTTGACTCACCCTAGTCCTGGCATGGTGGATCCCAGCCCTGGGTTTGAAGCTCAGTGCTGTCTATTCCTAGCTGCGTATCCATCAGCAATCAGTCAACCTTTCATGGCTCTGATAATAGTGTTCAAAGCAC